GGGTTCGAATTCTGTTATATATGTGGGGCGGATTATAATGCCATCCGTCGGCGGGGGAATACGGCGCATTCAAGACGCTGTAACCACTATGCGTGATGGAGTGACGAGAGGTGGAGTCGGGCCGGCACCACGCCGACAGCAGCCTCCTAAAGAGGGATAGGTCTGTAAATCAACATTAACTCACCCCCTTCAAACAGAAGATCCAGGTCGAATACGTCCCACGATCCGCCAGGAATGGCTCTCCAATCTTCATCAAGTCCCTTCGCCTGCTGGCTCAGGCGTTTCGACGCCGTTGTTGCTCCCACGCCTCTGGGGCGAGTTTGGAGTAGCTGTGACTAAATCCAGTGTCAGCAGGGCCTTAAATTCTGCAAAACGGTCGAAGAAGAAGTTTCGTCGGAAGGCGACCGAGTAGAATCCCGACCTGATCGACTACTACCTTCACAGTATCGCGCCCTTCCACTCCTACCAATTCGTCTACGTGGACGAATCTGGAGGCGACACAAAAGACGGGCTTCGAGACACCGGATGGTCTAAACGGGGTATCACTCCGGCTCAGACCAGAAAATTCCCTCGGGGACAACGATATCAGATCCTGCCAGCGTATACCCAGGATGACATTCTCTTTTCACGTGTCTCCCCAGGTACCACGGACACAGATGTGTGGGAGGATTTCATTGAACGGCTTCTTCCTTATCGTGGAAGATTTCCTGAGCCGAACTCCATCCTGGTTTTGGATAATGCGTCCTGTCATCGCCGTGAGCGGTTTAGACACATGTGCACTGCCGCAGGAGACTCCTGCGGCAGGAGCTACATATATTTATTCGCCTCCCTCTTCGCCCCGCCGGAATCCCATTTAAGAGATTTTTTGCCGAATTAAAGGCGTTCGTCAAAAAGAATCGGGAGATCTACGACCATTCTCGAACGGGGTTTGGGACATTCACCGAATGGGGCGTGGCCGTGGTGAGACGAAGAGAGGAGAGCGCCAGAGGGCATTTCAGGCATGCAGGATGGACCGTTCAAGAGCCTGAAATTAGACGTCTGTAAATCATATCGTTCAGGAAGACTGGCCATTCGTCAGAATCCAATCGAATCATTTGTGTTGGACGCTCAATATTCTACAAGCCCGGAAAAAGCTTGTCGTAGTCACCAAAGGTTTCAATATCCTCAGGCCAGGTGAAATACCAAGCGATTCCCTCGGCCACTACCTTCGTTGACAAATATATGTCCACCCGCAAACTTTATAGTCGCCCAATCTCGGAAGGCCAGGTACTGTTCTTTCGCTAAAACGGTCAATGAGAGCTGGAAGAAGGGGATGAAGTGTGAGGGTTGATTCCTTGGTGTCGATCTCCTGGAGAATCGCTCTGAGTTTGGTAAGCTCATCTCGAAATCTACGTAAGGCCCTGTCGTGTTGAATCTTGATCGAAGCCGACGATACTTTCAGAAAGCGACTGCGTTGACCTGCGGTAGCTTGTTGGGTGACAGCCCGCAACGAGGCAGGAAATTTTACAGGATCCGCTGTGCTCGACATTCCGCTGCGATGCTTAATAGATCTGAACAATCGAGAGAGAGGTCAGAATCAAGAGGATCCCATTAACTTGAGATCTGATGTGGTGGTAAGGATTCAAAGCCCGCAGTCGAGCCTACACTGCATGAATAAACGCACATCCACTAGGCAAAAGTTCAGCCTCACGTGCGGATCGCGGATTTTCGACCTAATTCAGACGGCAATAGCAGAAAGCCACATATCTATAGCTAATGCGGCGGAGTGTTCATCCGACATCTCTACCAGGTTACATATTAAAGAGCATTCGTCGTCCAACATCATGATTAGATGTTACCGTACCACCGCAACGCAATCACACTGACTCATGATTTCCACCAGCTTTCGGCGGATTCGAAGTATCCTTTGAGCCCACGGCTATTGTCGTATCTTCGGCCTGTGTGGTCAACCAATGATGGTCGCCCGTTCACTTGCTGCAATTCAAAGTCCAGATCTTCCCATGTTTTCCATCTCTCGAGCGAGAAGCCATCCCTACCTGGAAGTATTCGCAGTCTATCGCCCTCGATGTCCATGCGCATGGGTGCGGATCGCTTTGTCCCCCATTGCAGCGTGACGACCCCCCCAGCGTCGATTTCCATCCGTTGACCGGATACAGGGTCCTGATAGACCCCTGCAAATCGACTCACTGCTGCAGGTCATACGCCAGGTAAGCGATCCGCCTTCTTGACTGCGCGAAGGTGCTCGGTGGCTTCTGCCCACTGTTCTTGTATCGTTTTCACGATATCAACACTTGGCTCGAGGCCTACAATTTTCTGCAGCACGCCGCATGCGATGTGGTCCATGACTTGGACAGGTCCGGTGCCGTTTCCCAGAACGATGACAAAGGTTCTGCAAGGTAGCGAAAGATACATAGCGGCGGAATATCCATCCACTAAACCTGTTTTATGGTAGACGTCGCACGGTCGCCCGTCCGACATCATGCCAAATCTTCGCGCTCCGTGAGCCTTGGGAGCCAGTAATCTATTCATGCTTTCACATCCCGGAAGTAACGAATCCATGGAGCCGTGAAGTCCTCCCAAAGCCAAACACCTTCCGTCGACCTGTGGGGCAAAGAATTTGTTGGCTTCTTCCTTGGTGAAGACAGTCGCGTCACCATCGAAAGCCAGCAAGAGACTGCGCAGGAATTTTCCCAGGTCCTCTGCGGTGCTGTAGATGCCCAAGGACGAAACCTCGATGATGTCGTCTAGATATCGATGTCTTCTCACGTTCTGGACCCGTTTTTCACTATTGATGCGGTGGCCGTTGGAAATGATACAACCTTGGTCGATTAGGCCAAGGAGATCTTTTGTGGTCATCACACTGTGTGACATACCGACCGGCACGAAGATCTGTTCATGAACAAGGCTGGCAAGATCCCGCAGAGTGAGTTCTCGGAGCCCCTTCACGTGTCAAAATACAAGATCTTGAAAGCCCCGCTGAGGTGCTGGGAAGGCGTATCGAGACGATCCGGGCGACATTAGAAACTCATGCCTCAGAAGACGGGCTGCTCTTCTACAGTGGCTTGTGGCAAGACATAACTAGCTGCATACCTATGGGGGCGGGTGATAGGCAGTGGCTGAGAACATCGCCTCACGATACCGCCGGGGATAGGAACCAAGCCTCAAAATCGAGTGAGGACGATTTTCACTGGAGTTTCGCTGTCTCCATCGTCAATCGTCTCAATCCGTGGTGGGGTTCCGCAGCCGAAACCAGACGTGGCCGTGTCATTTCATCGAGACACATTCTTTGAGCAGGGCCTCCTGAACTATCCCCTCGAACTCAGTGATTTGTCTCCATCCAGGCCAGGGAGGACGTAAGCGATAGTTTCCGTTTCTCTACATCGAAGCTGAAAAGGAAGGCAGACTTCTTAGCGATGTGCTTATGAGTAATCTGTAGTTATACCGCGGGCCAAGCATTGTTTGGTATCTTCCAGTGGATGCACGGAGATGCAACGCTCTACGAGCAGTCTTTTAAACACGTTCGGACTTTTAGCATAGGTCTAAGTGCCGATAAGCTGGCGTTAAGGATACACTGGGCTGAAAGAAAGAGAGATGGTGGTCTCAGGTACGAATTTACCGAGACTAAAATCCCCGACTACAATGAGTACACCGCCATTGCGCTGGTGTACCGGGTTTTATGGGAGTACGGGTGGCCAGTTCTACACCCCATCCTCAAAAATACCTTTCAGAGTGTCGTCCAGTTGGTCCTGGTTAAGGATGGAAGATGCAAATCCCATTCCTACCCGCCCTCTCCTACTCCATCTGCCCAGCAAGCCCCTTTTGTTCCATTTCAGCCCACCCAAAAAGATCCTGTTGCCACTGGACAGGAAGGACGGCGGCAGCTCGAGCGGGCGGCGCGCAGGACCACGTGGAGGCGTGTCAAAATGCAAGACACAGCTAGGCCGGGAGGGGATCATATCGTCACACGATCACGGACCCCACACGATTGTACCTTCGAATCCCTGCTGAACATGGGTCGTTCTACGTAATACGATTGGAGATGCTCCCAGGAATCTACGAATGTCGTCAATAAGGGTAAACGGGCGCATGTCTTTGTCTTGTCTAGTCATGCACGCAGCTGATCGCAGAATCCCACCTACATGTCCTTTTTGATGGCAAGAGCGATATGAGTGTTTTCTTTCTCCGCGCCCTCGCCGAGTGGCCCCGGGATACCGCGCACGTTCGCGGCCTGAGAATCGCGCCCCTTGGCAGAACTTTGTGTTGAGAGAAGATCGAAAAAGATACAAAGGCCAATTGGACATTGTTTGCGCTTTGCGCCATCCTACACCGAGCCGGCACAGTCTCGGGGACTTCCCACAAAATTTCACCGCTTCCATATCGCTATAAGACGCCATGTCTGGGTAGGAAATCATTGCACGATGGCTGGTACTCAATTTGCCCAACGTCTGGACTCCATAGTCTGAATCGACCCGAGTCGAGCTTTGGGAGGCAGGGAATCAGAACACATAGCACATGGAAGAGAGGACTCAAACTTGACCGGGCCAGAACGAAAGGAACGGGAGAGGAAGTAGAAGTGGAGGTGAAAGAAAGAGGGAAGGGAATACCGGGCTTCGAAACATCACTCGGCATCGAAGTAGATGGCTCGAACACGCGAGAATTCTAGCCCTAACCTAACGGCCCTGGGCCTTTTTTCCACCTAATCATCGGCCAACAACCTTCGATGTTCCGTCTTTTTGTCCTGGGCCACAGAGCGAGGCCTATCCCTGACACCATTGTTCCGAATTTGACTTACGAGCAATACCGAAGTCCTCAGCCACTTTTCATTGTACGGGTCAATTAGCTTGCGGAAAAAAGGTCTTAAAATGATTGGTAAACAAACCTCGAGAGTCAGAAGCCCTATGAGGAATGTCAGCCGAGAGACGCGTGCACGTGATGAGGTACTACGTAACCTCCCAATGCCTCACGCGTTAGCGCTGCGCGCTCGTGGGGAACAAACAACACACACGTGCCCTGTTTCTCCCAACGACCGCGTCAAGAATCTGCGTTTTCCCCCTTCCCTTTATGATAGATCCTCCCTCGCCCTCCTGACCAGATCAAATCCGTATCTCCTACTCCCAACGAACAGGCGAGAGAACGGAATGACTCATGCCTCTCGGACCTCCCAGCAGAGACCCCTACCCTCTACCGACAGCGGGAGAGGGTGTCGTTGCCCCGCCCGGTGAAGTGACTATCTATCTCCCCGGATACGAGCCCGATCGAACCCTACTACGGTTTTGGGCGTACAGTGTGGACGAGGAGGATGGGCCATATGTGAATTATGAGTTTGCGTACGACATGTGCATGGCGATGACCAACAATGCTGGACCCGGGTTCTTCACGAAAGGACGAGAGCCGAACAGCGAAAAGGCAGAGGTGGAAAAGGGCGGTTTGCTAGCGAAACAAAAATATTTCTTTCACGTTGGAAGTGACACATCGACGGTGCCAGAAAAATACCCGGTTCTGCGAAGCTTTCGGGACTTCACCTTCACGCCGGAAGTTGTTGGCGAGCATTGGCGGAAGGCCGTTCCGGGGAAGAGAAGCGCAGACGGTTACTTGCCGGATGCATGCTGCGTGAGTGGTGAAGATGTAATGATAGAAGCTGCGCATTTGATTCCAAAGACGGAATGGCAATTCTGGAAGGAGAATGCGTTGCACCGATACGCGATGGAGCCAGTCCCCCGCACCCAAGGACGTGAAACCTATACTCGGAGCAACACCATTCCACTGGCTTCCAACCTACACAAGATGTTTGATGCCGGGCATTTCGTCCTGATACCGGTAAATGGACAATTACAATGCCAGTGGATCCGAAGGAGTGATCTGATGGCACTTAAGTATCACCATCGACCAGTCCATGGAGGAGTTGCCACGGTCTCACCTGAATTGGCTTATCTCGGGTGCGTATACCGAATGATGGGTGTGATGCAGGAGGAACTCCTCGAAAGGGGAGCTCAGGAAACCCTAGTGTTGACTAAAGAAGACGGAGCAATCATGATGACCGGATTTGACCTGGGGCAATACAAGAGTCAGCAATTGCGCAACACCAGCCCCACGAAAAGTGGTAGTGGAGGTAGCGGCCCCAGAAAACGACCGCGGGAAGATGTCGAGAACGATGAATTGATCGCTACTAGATTCGTTAACCACGACGACGTGGAGGAAGGGTGCTCCGATTCCGGAGTGGATGTGAATGAGTATTGGAGGGGGAGACCGCGGACAAAGTGTCAGGAGCAGATGATGAGGTGCGATAGGGTAAGGAAGAGACGAGCAGAACTTGACGGGGAGGAGAAAGAGGAGATTTTGGCGCAAATGGGCGGGGAAACCGGGCTAGAACCCGGGAAGGCAATTGTCAATGAAAAGTACAAAAGAAGGAGGCACAACCGGTTGCCGTCGTCTCGCAGATATCCCACCGCTCCATGATGGCGATCAGAGGGCACTCCGTACACCTTCAGCTTTTGGGAAAATATCAAGTAATGGATGAGGCGCAGCTCCGCGTTGGAATAAATTAGAGCCTCCGGGTTTGTGAGCCTGGATATCTGTCGAGATTTCCACCATCCTATTCTTCCTCGTCATAAGGTGGCAGTTGCTGGCTTCAGCATAGGTTGCCTCCTGTTCATCCCGCTGCGTATTGGCCTCTCCCGGGAACATTCCGAATCGACCAAGCGCCGTCTGTCGTTCATCCCCGGGGGCACATAGGTCAATACGACGCATTGAGTAAGCGGTGGATTGCGATCGAGGTGCAGCATCATCGAAAAGTAGCACACTACATTCGGTGAACGCGGGACCACTGGCAGTGAAGAGAACGTCAGATTTTCCCTAATGAACGAGAAGGCGCGTACTCATATGCACAGCCAGCATCTGCGGAACAAATGTCTGGTGAATCTAAGCACACGTAGGCGATGGACACAAGCGGGTCTGGTCTTCATTCACCACCGTCCAAACTTGCTAGTCTGCCGAACCGGGCTCCAATGTCGAGGATGAGGAGAGTCTTTTCCTTGATTGATTGGTCGCGAGCTTTGGTGAGACGTTGAGTTGAGGCTGACGAAGGTTCGGTGATAGGGTAAAAATTGAGGATTCCCACTGCTTTGGCTGTAGCCGTTAGGCCATAAGTGGTGGATCTTCACATTTTCAGGACTCTAGGCGTTGACAATTCGTCCCATCTGATTCTTACAGTAGCCCTGAGGCCACTCTCCGACTCAGGACTACCCCACCGGCATCAAGGAGCCCCTCGCCGCGAGCTCCTCGCCGCCGGTACGGTGTACCCGTTCATGAATAGGGGGATCGAGACTTTGGCGTTGGACAAGAGCCTGCGGCGAACGTGGGAGCTCGTTGGAGGTGGTCTCTGTCACAATCCCACGGCCCTCATCAAATCTTATATGTACACCAAGCTTCGTTGTCATTTTGCATTACAGGGGTCGCTCAAGAAATCTTCTGGCATTCGCGGTGGGCACCGTATCTCCCGAGAACTATTCCACGCCACCGATGCGCAGTTTCGCGCCCGGAGACGACACGATCAGCCTATCACATTCATACCGGGGAGGGAGGCCCCCTTCTACAGCTTCCGTACCACGGATGTGCTGCGTTGGGTTCGCTGGAACATCTACAAATTTTGCCTCGGGTTTGAAATGGTACACAGCTTTCAAGATCCACACTTCGTCACTTGGGAACACACGCGTGTGATGGTCATGTTCCTCCGCTGCCTCTCATTCTCGTGCCCGAGCGGTCTAATTCAGAAAGCGGGCGGGTGTTGGCAGGACGTGCGATTTCAAGCGGACTCCCGGCAGCCAGATGGCCTTCGGCGTGTCGGGGGTCTCGGCTTTCGGCGAACGATGGAAGAATTTGGCTATGCGTGGTTTCTCGACAAGATTGACTGGAACACTCTGACCTTTCGGCAGCCTTATGCGGCTCACATGATGTTCATCCATCGATGCAGGCGGCATATCATGCCCGATACGGCCAAGTCCGGGACGTTCGCCTCGACTTCATTCGGATGGATAAAGCCCGGCAGTTGGATGATCGAGTTCAGCGGCGTGCCAGCATGTTTGGACTTTCTTGAGAAATACCTCCGCCAGCTTTGCTTATGTGCCTTCCGGAAAGATGTCTTTCGTCACATTAAGTCGGTCCTGGATCCTGAGAAAGCCGAAGCCGCGTTGGCCGGCGAAGTCCCGCTGTGCTACGCCAGCATCGGAAAGGTCCTCAAGAAGGAGTATCGCCCACTTAACCTCGCTCATGGTAACCGCCTCGGGGTCAAAAGCATGGACGTTTTGTTTTCGTGGTTGTGGGGATGGAATGACAGTCAATTCAAACGAGAAGGCTGGGAGGACAAGCCGTACCGCATGCTCTTTCGGCAAAGCTTCTACGCCGTCGACACGGCTCGTGGTAAAGCCAGTGCTCGGACGTGGCGGCAGGAGCTCAAGAAGTCGTTCGTGCGGAACCATTTCGTGGTTCCGTACCCTCAGCCCACCGGATTTATGCGCAAAGACAAAGACACAAAGGACTTTGTGTGGTGGCCGAGTTTTCATCGGGGCCTCCACGCGTACTATCGGCAGTTCCAGACCCATGCCGCTCTCCCCGATCCACTCCCTGCATCTTACATTAAGCATCACCCTAGCGACGGGTGGCAGGTCGCCCCAGATTCACTCCTTGACGACCATATGCCTTATGTGGTGCAGCCGGAACATCGGCTCCTCCATCTCTCCGAAAGTGAGCTCTATCAAGAGCTAGTTCGCCTCCGAGAGCAATGGGTCACCCAAGGCCGGCCCGGTTTGCAGCAGATTGCCCCACCCGTCATGCCAGTCTTGGAATTTAACCTTCGATCAATGGACTATCTTGGACCGACAGCGAAATGGTGTTCCAAGAAGCGAGGCTGGGTTGTGAAGCGATTCGAGGAATGCCGGACTGCCGGCGAGTGCAGTATTTTTCTTCGCCAGGAGCTCGAAAAGTACGAAGCTCTTCAGCATCAGCGACAGCTTCGGCGGCGCCGAAGTCGAAGGAACCCGCGGCCTGACTTCCACTCCGACTCGGAATTAGACTTGTTTTCCGCGTCCGCGGATGAGACATCGGACGAAGAGAGTCTCGGAGCCCGATGACGACGGCAAGGCCAGGTGGTGAAGCGAATAGAGACGAAGATGCGCGAACTGATGGCAGCAGAGCTAGGAGATTAGCGACGGCGACGAGAGATGTACAGGCCCCAAGACACGGCAAACTGGCGAAAACCGAATGAGTGTCTCGAGAAGGAATATAATCATCGACTTCGCCAGGTTAAATCGTGATTTCAAGCATAGCCAATGGGAGTGGGGGGTCTCAGAGAATGGGCTTGTATGTACAAGAATAAATACCTGTAAGATTGGTGAGGGATTCTAGAGCTGTCCCGACGAATGTTCATTCCGCACCTGATTGAGTTATTATTTCTTAGCGAAAGCTTGCGCTTCTTTGATAAGCCTGACTAAGCTCAAGGCGAAACCGAAGCCCGTTGAACGCGTGAGACCAGCAAACGCTGCCGCGAGGAGCAACGCAGTAGGAGCCTTACAGCAGAATTTTCAAAAGTACGCAGAAGCAGTCGAGCTGGGCGTCTGGCGCTTCGTAAATACGGAGTGTTACTGCGGTTCCTGCGGTACGGACATGCGGACATGATTCTGTTGTAGCTATAAAGTGCAGCTCATAACAGATGGCAGTGTGCCTGCCGCCAAGACTCTCTCACCGTCTCGGAACCAAGTGGCGGCTTCGACTCCTCCGACCCCGCTCGATGCCCTCCCACGCCGTCCAGCGTAACAGCGCGGATCATTCTTCTCTGCTCTTGGAAATGCTTCTGAACGCTTTCATCCGTGTCGTTTATTTTATTTGGAACAGTCCAGCCTTGATCACTGATTATTTCCTCTAGAATAAAGACTTCCTCCATCCAGTGGTCGAACTGGTACTCCACGACACGGATTTTGTCGTCGTTGCGTGAAAGCATTGCCTGTGTCCACTTCTCGTTGAATTCGCTCACTTCATTTTTTTT